CATAATAATCAGTTGTGGTGTTTGTAGGCCCTTTTGATCGTCTTAATCAATCTGGACAGATTTTTTAGTAAAAATGACTGAAATATTTACACATTTTATAAATTGCCTGAGAGAATCACGTTTTACAAATTGACGGTAATATATACACGCTTACAAAGGAAAAGGCCTGTGAAAACAACGTCTATCGCACATTGAAGAATTTCCCAACCAAGACGTAGAGAAACAAGGACGAATCGGTTCAATGCTACAGCAAATGAGGGAAAACAAAATGCAAATACCATAATTACAACCTACCAAATTTATGTGTATAAATTTTAGGCAGCTTCCTTGTTCGAGGAATGTATCCATGAATATCCACACAAAGGAACAATATCCCACTCGTCTGCAGTTGTACAAAGAAACTTATTCGATGTCACGTGTCTCTGTAACAATCACATATTTTAAAAAATATATATCGTTTGGGGATATTTTAACCCGTGTTCGTTTCTCAACTGATCACTTGGATTGTTTCAGGTGTTTTACATAGGTGTCAAGTCTCAAGGGTCAGCTGAGATAGCCCACGTGACAACTATTTTCATAACGTCCACAGTTCCTAAAAAATCCATTGAGTGATAGATAACAATGATCAATCAATCAACGTGTTATCAGTTAACAAAGTATGTTGTTTTTACATCGGCACTTCACGCCATGATATGAGGTATTCCCTTTGTTTTAGTAAACCTAGACATGTAAACACTCACTTTTGACATATCCACTGTGCAAGAAAACAGTGGTTAATCAATCAACGTATTTTCTGTTAATCCTTTGATGACTAGGAACGATCCGTTGATTTACAAAAAAAAGTAAATCAACTGATCATTCACCTCTTGCTGGTCTGCCACGTGCATATTACATAACACACATTTCACCTCACTTCAAACCTGGATTTAGATTGAATAATTACCCCAGACACAATAAATGCCAAATGGGAACCTTTGTCAGGTAATCTAAGTGGTGCTACCACTAATTGTACCTGTAATAAATTCATTAACTGAGCATCAAGTGAATGACGACAAATACACAAGTGTAGGGTTATACGAGAAAACGTGGATGACAACAAGGGAGTAGATATAGTATTATCGACGCAATCCGAAATCCGAAAATGCTTTCACTGCATGGATACTTTTTTTAGTATTAAACTATAACCATCTGGGGTATTTCCAAATGACGACATCCAATGAGCTCCGCCGTTCTTTTTGTCTGTTTGTTTAGGCTGAAGAAATTAATTAACATGCGCCCTTTGTCGAAATCTTTATAGATCACTGTTAACCAATCAGTGTTTATGCAAAAATGCGTAAAACAAATATTGCCTCCAGCCTCCAAGTTTATTTAGCTGTCCTTGCAGACGGTAGCCCAGTCTCTGGTCACGCTCAGTTGCGTTGCGTATCATCCGGGTACTCACGGGGGAAAAAACAATAACAAAGGCAACAACCAGTCCGGGGAATTGCGTTAGATCAGTGCCCCTTTAAGTCTTGATTTCTTCCTGTGGTGGGTCTTCATGAAACAAATTTTCTTGAGCATTGGCACAAAAAGTCTGAAAAGACTCTCCTCCTGTCAGGAACCACAGTCACACTTCACTGTAAGTTTTCTCGCTCCTTGTTTTCATGAGATGAGCATGGTACGGTGATCTTAGAGCATCTCCGCCATATGTAACCTTTCTGTTCTGGGTACTTTACCCTTCTACCTTTGGTCACTTGTACTTATCAACTATTCCTTGGTTCTAGGGATGATGTAGCTCTCTCAAAATCACAAGTCAGATGGTTTGCTCCAGTCCTTTTTATTTATGATAGAATTAATCATTAATATACACACATGGTCCTCAGATAAGTTCTTGTTGTTGCCTGAATTACATAAGTACAACACATACCTAGATGATGCGTTGAAAAGCCTGATGGTTTTTCTGATGAACGTTTAACTCTACTTCTTTTCTGACTCGGGATCCCAAAACCACAGTGAACCTTTCTGTTCAGCTGTATGCTCCCGACTTCCCGCACCACTCTCGGACAACTAACAAAATACTATCGATGATAATTTTAGCTCCTCCCTCCAAAATCACATTTGACATCATGAGAAATGAGTCATAATGGTCCTTCCCAAATTTCCATAGTAATTAGCTTTACCATAAAGCCCTTCTGATTAGCCACTTTGATTACCTCTTTAGGGTCATTGGTCAACTTGGACATACTCATATAATCAAATTAAATACCCTCAACTACCTCTGCCAGACTGGAAGGCACCGAAAAGATACCCAATCCTGTTATTTAGACATTCCAATCAAGCAGTAGTATTCAGAAATACTTGATCACCACTAATCTAACAATCCCGTTCCATCCATCTGTCTCTCTTCTGACATCTTTATTGCAGGACCGTATTCTACTAATTTCCTCAGACCAATGAAAAGTTATCTCTATCACTCAAGAGAAGCAAAATCCATAATCATTTGCCCTGGGGGTTATGCCCTCACCCTGTACGGTCACTTCTCTCATATGCATCCATATTTTTACCCAAAAGCTTAATTTAGTAAACTTCATTTTAAGTAAATATTAAAAAGAACTTTTTCCAAAATACCCTCGTTATAATAGTCAAGAGTGGAAGTAAACTCAAACTAACAAAATCACACACACACACGCACGCACGCACGCGCGCGCGCGCTCTCAAAATTAGAAATAGGGGGCTCTTATTAGAACATTATTTTGGTGAAAGATAAATTTCGTGGTTTATGCTGACAGCCTGAAATGTTTATATACGACAGATATATTTTTCCAGAGCGCGCTCTCTCAAAATTAGAAATAGGGGGCTCTTATTAGAACATTATTTTGGTGAAAGATAAATTTCGTGGTTTATGCTGACAGCCTGAAATGTTTATATACGACAGATATATTTTTCCAGAATTTAATTGCCCATGATTAAGGGTGCATATAACACACGAGTGCGTATTATACGTGAATAAATAAGTCTTGTGTACATTGATCAATCGGAAGGGGTGCTGATTAGGATTGTTCACTAGCCAATGTATTAGCAAATGTTCCTATGGGCGCTTATTATGTCGAATACGGTATCAAAAATGGTAAGGTTCCCAAGTTTGAAGCCACTAGACTTAATCTTTTGAAGCTTCCTGCATTATATCTGACTAAACAAGACTGGTTAAGCAGCCCTTGCATCCTTCAGTGCTAAAATCTTTCCTTGGGAGTAACTGGCTGAATACTTATATTAACCATATTTGATATCACGAAACCACAAATTTAATGTATGTTAAATGAATTTTATGTGAGATGCCTTTTGACAGGTTACATCAACAATTGTATGTTAGGTGTATTGCCCTGTGGAAGCTCTTAACGAGCTGAGAGTGTACTCAAGCCTGTTTCAAAGTCTAGTTTTCTCCCTTTGACCCAATCTCATTAAAATCAGATCATAGTTCTCACTGCAGCTAAACAAAGATCTGAGGACATTCCATTACGGGTCACGTCAAACGACCTTTCGCGAACTTAGTCTAACCGCTAAATTGACTAACAAGAAGCTAACAGCCAATTAGAAAGCAGCTTTCTTGAGCTTTATGGCACTCATTTCAACCTGGCGACTTCCATTCCAGACAATGCTTGAAAATTATGTTGACACAGTTCTTGATTAAAATTTTGAAAACTGAACAAACGAACATTCCGGAATGTCTAATATACGGTTGAGATTGTATGGCAGTGCTTCCCACGTACTGTGCAACGCCTCCTCCGTTTAAATATTTATCCCATGGAAGCAAAAGATAGGCGATAATTTTGACGGAATCAGTCATACGGGACGTAACCGTCGTTCAGAATACACCGTGTTAACGTTTTCAAGTTTGCATGGTTAGAAAACACATTCTGATTGTCACTTTCATGATCTGGTAAGCACTTTGACTTTTCTTGTCTCATTCAAAGCACCACCCCATGTAGAGCATGAATTGTGCCATTTGTGATGAAAACGTGATATCCATTCAGATCGCTGTTCTTTCTTTTGAACGGCTTCTCAAAGATGGTGACCATCAAATTGGACAACCAAATCAGATAATGAAAAGATTGACATTACATCCCTGATACACAAACAAAATGACAGCTTATTATTGTAAAGATATAGTAAAGTCCTCGTTTCTGGAGCAGATCTTGAAAACCATACCCTATTTCTTCACCAAACTTGGCACATAGATAGATCTAGTGGTGAACTGGTGCCTTTTGATAGTTTGGGATTTAAAAAAAATTAAAAAATTCGCATTTCCATGGCATTGACTTTGATTTAGACTGAAAATGTTCCTCCAAAAGTGTCATGGACACAGTTGTTGCATTCACTGACAGAAACACAACTCATTACAAATACAACAGTGTAACTGATCTTAAACCTACACAACTGTATTAACAAAATATATTCTTGTCAACCACACTCAATTGCTTGATAATGGTGTTAGAACCTACGCTGAAACCATCGCTCCTGATTGTAATAAAGAAGTTGTTCGTCCATATGTCTCATCCTTACTCATTACAAATTCAGTAACATATATTCTATCATAAACTGCAGATGGAAAAACAACACCAGTAATAACTTTTTTTTAGTGCTGCAATTAGGCCATTTACAAAAAGGCCCATAGTTCACAGGAGCTAATGCATTGCACACACCCGACATGTCATATTGGCAGGGGATGTGAGTATTTCATGCATATGCTTGTTCTCTCAGGTATTGGAAGCATTCATAGTATTATGAATGAAGCCCTTCTCATGTTGAAGGGAATTAACACTCATGTAGCAGTAAAAAAATGATATTGAGGTCATTTGGGAAAACAAGTATATGTGTTACAAAACAATCACAGAACTTAAAATTCTTGTATATTGTGTGATGCAGTTTTGTTGTTAGAACAGCTAATGTTGTAATTCCTCATATAAAAGGTTAATGTCTTACTTATTTCTTGTGATAAATTATTGTTTGTCTTTTCTATCCAGGTTGACGTGTTGGTCAATACTTCAGGGCAAAGTCTGGATTTAAGTCAAGGAGCGGTGTCTCAGTCTTTACTGAAGGAGGCAGGGAAGGAAATTCAGAAGGAATGCAACAAAAAATATCCTTCAGGAATACAACTTGGAGAAATTGCTGAGACGGATACAGGCAATATCAAACATTGCAAAGCAATTTATCATGGAGCACTGCCATTCAATGATAAAACAAGGACTGAAGAAGCCATGGAGAAGGTATCTATATGCTCAGCATCAATATTGAAGTGTCAGTGATACTTTTAAATATCTAGGACACAGGATAAAAATAACCTGTGTCATTGCTGGTCATAATTGTCATTGTAGGAACTCAGCTGCTTGAAAACTCTTACATATTCCCACTAAAATGTCTATTTTAGTAATTGGTCCTTAATCCATTTGATACTGAGATCCTTTTATTAATCATGTTAATTCACATTTATTACTTCTCCTTTACAAAACCAACTGATTTCACAAATGGTGTATGCCAGGTTTGATCAAATTAACCCAACCAAAATGTCATTTGTGCCTGTATCCACGTTCAACTTTGAGTGCAGTGAGGATGTTTGATGACATATCAGACATTTCTTCTGTATTTTTAGCTCAGGTTACTGACCTTCTAATGAGTTTATGATTCCTTTGAATACCCTCCCTCTATTCCTGCAATTTGAAAGAATCTCCAGATTTTCAACAGATGTCCACTATACTGTCAGCCATTCCAAGCAGTTGTTAGGTAAACAGTATCTCATGCAAAAGTCTTTGCACAAGGTGGGACTCATCACTTCTTTCATGTGTGTGCACATCGCAACTACTAAAGTAGTAATCACTACTTAGGTAACGTACCTAGTGTTTAGATACAAGATGTTGGGAGGGAGAGTGTGACGCTGCCAGATTATTTCGCCCGGACAACTCGTTCCAAGAGCTCGAAGAGGAACACTACCACAATGTTCAGCCGCCTGTTGAGCCGACTTCACCAACCGTCTGACTCAGATGGCCTGAAATTAGAAACCCCAGAGATGTTAGAAACCCAAGACATGACATCTGCCACAGACGAGATTAGAAGGGCTGATTGACAAATGCATTCGGAGAGGGGTTGGGTCACTGATATTGGTGGAGTTACAGTCCAAGGGACATGGACAGATGCAGACAAAATGCTTCACATCAAAGTATCTGGAGGTGTTATGCAATACAAACCTGGGCATTCAGTTTGTGTCGGTTATGATGTTGTCAGTAATGGTTGCTACTAATTCTGTCTCGCTTTTACGAGTCCTCCCCAGCTAACAATTTCACGTTGTGACAACGTTGTGATTACGTTGTGTTTACGTTGTGGTAACGTTAGGGATGTTAAGTCCATATAACGTTATTCTGTGGACTCCCATTTACGTTGTCACAACGTCATGGCCTAACGTTGTGTTACGTCATATTCACGTCATACCAACGTTGTGATGACGTTGTATTTTATGTTGTGGGAACGTTGTATTTTAAAGTTGAGGGAACGTTGTATTTGACGTTGTGGTAATGTTGTAATTTACGCTGTGGCAATGTTATAGTAATGCGTCCCTACAACGTTATTCTGTATACTACCATGGACGTTGTAACAACGACATGAAATAACTTTGTGTTTCAAGAATTAAATATGTTGTGACCATTCCCCACTAAAATGTTGTAAAAACAACCCAAAAACATGTTCCGGAAATGTTTTAGAATATGCTTTAGTCATGTGAATGTGTATGATTCGAGATACCTTTTACCAATGTTTTAAAACCAGGGAGTCAATAGCCCAGTTAACAGTTAGATCGTGTTTTGCTTACAATGTTCAAAATGTAAAACTGTTAACTAGATACATATGACTATAACAAAGTCAGACACCATTACCCTTTAGACTTGTACTGCAGGAAACCAAATAAGAAATTGTAAGGGATTCACAATATGATCTTTTCTGGGGAGGGTCGGGTCCTGGAATTTTATCGAAAAAATATAGTCACCAAAAATTCTTGACAAAAATAATTACTGTTCAGACTGGTGAAAAAAAATAGACATAGATCTAGTTGCAAGGTGCTTATCTTCAGGCTCATAGAGTTAAATAAAATCATATATCTGCTTTTGTAGCTGTGACCGAAAACATGTAATCTCCATAGAAAAGTTCCAAGTCTCCACCTCCTTGAATATTAAATGGTCGGTCTCTAATCAAGTCCATATAGTATACTTCAACTTTCAGTCATGCGACGTCACCATTCAACAGGCCAGGCTCGCTGACTTGGTTGATACATGTCATCAATCCCAATTGCTTGGATCGATGCTCATGATGTCAATCACTGGATTGTCTGGTCCAGACTCGATTATTTTACAGACCGCAGTCATATAGCTGGAATATTGCAGAGTGCGACGTTAAAGAACAAACAATCAAAACACCATTCAACAAAGAACTCCAAGACTTATTTGTGTTGACATTTTAATACTTTTAGATAATTGAAAATGTATACACTTTTTGAAATTATTAAATGCCAGAATCTTCTTTCTTTGGTGTTCACTTCCACTTCCCTGAAATACAAACAGCTTAATAAATCTCGAGCAGGTATTTGAAAGATACTATATGACGAGAAACATTCATTTGGAGATAAGGCTTTATCAATATTCAAACAATAATGTATAATGCAAGTGTCTGATGGAAACAAATTTTAACATTCATTCAGAGACATCAAGAATCAGGTTTAATGCAAAACGTGGTAGAGCATAGATTTATATAAATAGATCTACATTCTTAGCATTCATTTAAAGCAAAAAAACAACAAACCAATTAACACGGATATAGACAATGGAATGTAACTGTTAACAATTGTACTTACGTTAACATAATTCACAGCCCAGGGTTTATTTGGTGTGTTCCTCAATGATTCAACATTCTTGATTTTATCTCCTGGAATGGTCGTGTAACATTTTCCCCCTTGCTGAAACATATGAAAAAAAAAGTCAAAACTAGAACTATATTCAATAAGCATATATTTAGATCTATAGTCTATCCCAAAAGATAACATACATTGTATAGTTGCCTAAAATTTAGGAAAAACTGTAATCTAAAGTCCCCATGTATAACGTCCGATCGAAAATATCTCAGGCTACAGATATAGATCTATAAGTAACAAAATTATGAGTACCATCATAAAAAAACACCTGATGTAGTTTGGTTTCCATATACACCGGTCTGATAAACCGGTCGGGCAAACCAGTGATTGTTATAGTGAGCCACGTCTAACTATCTCTGCCAGAGAACAATGAGTCGGAGGAGTCGACACACAATCATATTAGTACAAACATGGTTTGTTGGCGACCTTTTCTAAACCGGAATCCAAACGGGAACGGATATATTAGACAGGCATTGTAGTTTATTATGACTCGCATCTTCATCGCAGCGCTGTTTGTATAGATCTAGCTACAGTACGATTTTGTAGCTAGCACTGGAACTTACTCGTTCAGTTTTCGATCACCATTTTATTCTCTCTCACTGTAAAAATGTTTCAGAGAACCAAGTATCATATGTAATTTGTTTGTTACTACGTTTATTAACATAATACAGTATAATATCGTTAAATATAATTCTGTAGTATGGTAGCCTACGTAGCAACATATGGAGATCGAAAACCGAACCAGATGGTTGCTATCAATTCCATTGTATTTTTCATTGGTGCACATTGGCTACACCTATCTCACCTTAATAATCAACAAACGATGACCAACTCACTGACAATATATGGTGATATTTAACTTTTGACTATCGACTACTCACTAGCTTATCATCACCAGCGAGGACAATACTGCAAACACCCCGTTATAGCGCGCGACGAGAGACTCGTTTTACTTTTGCTCATTTTCATTAGAAGGGAGTCGGACATAGATCTAGTTATCGGAAAATGATGAATTGATTCTTTTTTGGATATATAAAATACACAATGTGACATGATAAGCGCCTTGCTAAAAAATAAACTTTATTGACCTTTTTCACACTTCGCTACTTCCGGTTTGAAAGCGAGGCTTGGAGAGCAGAAGGTGAAGGCTGGATAGCACATGAAACACATGGAGATGTCAACAAGGCACGCAATCGGGACAAACTGTGACAATTTAACCATCCCGGTACATTTATCGTAAGTATTGAACATTATTCTTATTGACAAACTATTCTACTGTTATCTGGTCTCCTTACCGATATAAATTTGAGTCTGGCCGTTCTGTTGTGATTTCAATTTAAAATATCCATGACCACCTGGTAACTCCCAGTGCAGTTTATGGTAGCTGAACAGACTTAATACAAATGCTACTGAAATCTTGTAAAGAATAATTCATTGTTTACACACCATTAAGCCAAACTATTTATTGTGAGTTTAAATAACTTTGCAGGTTGTATTTGAAGTCGAAATATTGACCTTTTGACCATATCTAGATATATGTCAGAAACTAACTAAATTGATATGTTGATATAATGTATCAAATTGTAACCTACTGAGAATTTACAATCATAACAAATCAGAATTTTGCATCAGTTGCATATTTGATGTAAATTGTAATGGACTCAAATGCATTCCAATAAAATATTAGACCTCTAGATCTACTTGTGATTGTGAACAGTTGTTATTTTGATTGTCAATGTTGACAGATTAGATAGCATGAGGTGTAATATTTCAACTGAATAAAGAGTGTATAGATATTTAAAGTAAAGTACAGTTTGATCTGCAATTTTGGTAACAATTAATATTTCTACCAAAATGATATTTACTTTACTGTACTGATTTAATCATGTCATGAAATGAACAAAAACCGAACTAATTAATGTCAAGTAAATGTTCAATCTACATGTGATCTTTATATAATTTACAGAAACAGATAACTCTTTAACAGTTTGTATTCAAATATTTCAAATTCATAAATTGATATTGACATTACTGAAAACTTAAAGTATAAAAAGAATTATTTTTAATTCCCATGCGTATTGCAATCATAACTCATTTATTCTCTTTGTTTAATTGTGAAACCCATCTGGTTTTATGTCCACAAACATGTTTTGAAACTTTTAAAACAAAACGATTTCTTTTGTGCAAGTAATTGCCATGTATTATTGATTATTAATCATATCAATGTTATGATGTAATATTTTACTATTGTTAACAATCTTTAGAACTTTAGTTTGTTTCAATCAAGTCAAGTGGTGTGATCATTTTGATATTTTTTATAATTTAATCAAAACGAAAAAAATATAAATGCATAGAAGAAATATTGTTTTCCTTGTCAAATAACGATGATAGCATGAATTTATCTCATGCTCCTTGTATAGCATGCTCCTTGTGAAAATTCATTCTATTTCTTCTTCGAATGTACCTTATATGATGATTTTAGGGAGACATTACTGACAGCTATCAATAATCTTGGAGGACAAAAAACTCTACATAGTAATCTTTTTGGTGATCCAAAATGTTTTCCTGAATACAAAAATATTCTTGTCTGCACACAAATTTATAGAAACGACTAACAGATTCAGTAGCTAGCATATTATTGTTTACAAACTGTTAATCATTAATATTGTTAAATCTATATACAACACTAAAATGTATAATATTAGGATATGTATGAGATACACACTGTCTTCACTTTCCAGCACATTGTACATATCCTTCATATGAGCAGTGTGTATATATTGCGCACTATGTTTCCACAATGTGAAGCTTCAACTGTAAATTGTTCATTTTCTTTATGCAATATCATGTATAACTGTATATAGGGAGAAGGCGGTTATAAGTACTGCCCTTTGTCTTTTTGGACAATAAAATATGTTTAATAATATTTCAACTTGTGATCTGACAAAGTTAATATTTTCAAGTCAAGATATCAACTTTAGTAAACCACGTGAAGAGATAAACATTGCATTTGACAAAATAAATTCAAGTCTTATATTTTCTTGGTGACCTTCATGGCCTTACTCAGAAAACCATAGTGTCAATTAGGCAGACTGACTGTAGGTGTGACAAAACGTGATATTTCACCTGATTATAATAACAATCTTATTAATTTCACTCTAGCGAAAGTATGTTTTCAGCATGGTCAGACTAAACAAAGTATTTCATGATTAAATACATACCGGTAATACAAATATCAAAACGTGTTTCATTAAAACAAGAGTGAATTTCTGTGTGACATTGATATAAAGAGCTGTAGTACACTGTCATAATATTGATGCATCTGTTGAGTTTACTGTTTACACAGAATATACTGTTTGAGTTTTAGACATATCAGATGAATTGAAGCCTTCAAGATTGTTCTAAAGTAGCATGTAATGTAAGACACTGTGATTAATTTTCCTTAAACTTCTCTATTTCAGAAGAATGTTGTTTTCTAAATAAGCAATATTTTGTGAGAAGGTGAATATGCATTGTTTATAAAAAATGTTATTGAAGTAGGAATATTATTACAATATTATTGAATTATTCATTTCAGGCCAGCGAGTCAACACAATGAAGTACTAGTATCCGGGTGTCGGATGTCTGTAGGAGCTTTCTGCTGACAGTAACACACTGGTTACAATGTGCGTCCTGTCAAAGGACGAGGAAGTGAAAAGCCATATTCATTCAATCAACAAATGTGCTTCCTGTCACATTTCACTTAAATAGGACGAGGAAGTGAAAAGCCTTATTCACTCACAAATCAACATGGCCAATATTTATCAGACACTGAAAAAACACATTGTACCATTTGTTTACAAGCAAGAAAATTATTTACTCCTGGAATTTAATTAGGTGCTTTTTACTGACAAAGACACCCAGTCCATGTTAAGTTTTGAAAACTTATATTGTGAGAAATAAAGATATGAAAATTTTGGTTTGTTTTTCTTTGTTAAATATGAGAAATCCAGATTGTTCCATCAACATAATTTGTTCCGATACATATATTTTATCTTGGCTTGATTACCAATTGAAGTTGATTCCTTTTTATCTTTTGTTATTTTATCTGTACTCATATCTGATCAAGATATTTTCAAACTATTCAGGATAAATGTATCAGTAGCTTCCTTTTGATATACAATTACCTATCATCATACAGGATTAGGTGAGGGTGTTCAAGAAGTTGGTAGTTGTATCAATTCTTATATTTCTTCAATTTCATCCATTATTTATATTTATGAACAGTTCACACATTATTACTTTTGTCGTGCACAGTGCAATCTCAATCGGCAATAATCAGTTAAGTAAGTGATGTTTGAAAAACAAGTAAAGTATCATCTGTCATTGTACACACTGAATAGAGTTATTGCCTCTTCTGAATATTTATTGAGACACACAAATTATTTTCATAATTAACATTGTAATATGTTAAAATGAAAATCATAGCAGAAAAAGTCTTTTGTCAACTGAACTCATGGCAAAACGATAGTGCGTTGTGCAGCAAACACCACTATGAAACGTGAAATAAACATGATCTCAATCTTGATCTAGAGTTTGCCAAGCCATGCATTGACTGAGAAATTTTGCAAAAGTACACTGATGTGTTTCATGTTATGCGGCTTATTATGATCTCAATCTTGATCTAGAGTTTGCCAAGCCACTCACTGACTGAGAAATTTTGCAAAAGTACACTGACGTGTTTCATGTTATGCGGTTTATTTACGATACAAAACTTCTGTCATTGAATGTACTGTCACATTGTACCTATATGCCGACGAGGTTATGATAAAACAATCTATTTCTGAAATACGTATCTTGAAATGCACCTTTCGATTCACTTCCGGGATCCTGACAGCATTCTGACGTCACTTCACGAGGCAACAGTTAAACTTTTTAGCAGTCGCTCTCACGTCGCAAAAAATGTGTGCCAATTGTTTTTAACTGTAATATTGCTTGTGACAACATTTAGTAGAGATGGTAGATCTACAATTGGTTTCTTAAACATCATTTACAAAAATGTTGTAGTGTCCAAAGCACAACGTTAATTTGTTACGTTGTGGAATAACGCTACAATGTAATGTAATACTAACGTTGTCATAGAGATACGCAATTATGTTCTGGAAATTTTAGTATTAAGAGATGAAAATTCAAATGCCGAATATAAAGAAAGGTAATGAATTACTGCCTTGGTATTCTGACAAGTTCATGTTGATTTTGATAAAGCAGTTCTATTCCTTTATGACTATTGAGAAGCAAACTCTATAACATTTCACCGACGTTTCAGAAACGTAGTTACAAAACTTTCTGTGATGTCCGATGCACAATGTTTTCACAATGTGAATGTGCAACGTTGTTATAACGTTGTGAAATAACGTTGCACGTTGACGTTATAATAATGTTGTGAAAACGTTATATCACCACATTACCAATCCACAACCTTTCCACAACGTTGTGACAACGTCGTGTGTTAGCTGGGTCCCACTTAAAAGTTATTGGAATTAATTTCACTTATGTCATCAAAAGAAGTGTTACTTACCCCATGTTTCTTAATTGATAACAAAGTTCAGCCCTGCTGTAGCAAATCACCCACTTTTGTCAATTGGCTTCTTGTAATATTTTTCCAAAGTAGACTCCTTTGACCATCCTGCAGCTTTCATAATAGTCTGTATTGAGACTGCAGCCATCCTTGCTGCTGAAATCGATGCTGCCCTAGTAGAATGTGGAGTAAAGATGGACATGTCTGTTCCTGCCATAGGCAATACCTGATAAACACCTAGTACAACCTTTCCTTATTCATTCTGTACGGGGAATATATTCTCGTAATAGTGTAACTATACACAAACTCCAATCTGGAGGAAATACTGGTAGTACAATTTCCTGTAAATGACTAAGAAATTCAATCCCTCTTAAGTTATTTCAGAAAAGAGAGCTCTCATTTGAAATGGAAAAAATATATTTTTAAGATAATTTTGAAAATGAAACAAATAATAGATCATGATATCAGCATGTATTTTCTTTATGTAAATGGGGTGCACTGGTGGCCCAGTTGTTTAAGGCATGCCAGAAACCTATAATTGTGGGTTCAAATCCCGGTTGCCCCGATTATGATTTTAGGTCGTCAGCACTGTACCATGCTCGTGGGTTTCTCCAAAGTGGTAAACGTTTGAGACCTGCATCACTTCCGGCTTTCCTCCCACATTAAGCTGACATGCTGTGATATAACTGTAATACTCTTTAAAACGGCATTAAACCTAACTCTTCACTCACTCACTTGATGTTAATGGTTTGATTTTTCATTTCAGTACCTTCTTAACTTTGTGTACATGTGCCTTCAAAGAGCATCAGAGGCAGGCCACAGTTCAATTGCTTTCCCAGCTGTTGGCGCAGGGAAGCTAGAATACCCAGCTAATATAGTCTCCAAGGCTATGTTTAATGCTGTTGAGACATTCTACACCTCCAAACCAGCCTCAGAGCTTGGTGTTGTGTTTGTGCTGTTTGAAGGCAACAGAGACGTCATTCAGGTAGAAGTTTTTTTTATGTTGATGAAGATAGAAAAACAAATTTACATTTATGTAGAGCATACAACTACATCACCAACAAAATTAGGGGAACTGATGAAATGATAGTGAAAATGTAATGATGATAAGTGTCTGAAAAATTAATTTCGAGCTTGTAGATCAAAACTGTTGTGTCCTCCATGTTAGGCGATACATGCACAACACCTCATTGGTATATTGTTGATTCACTTGCATATGGTAGCCTTAGGTATTGCCCACCTTTCCACCTGACAAGCTTCCCCAAGCTGGGCCACGTTGGTGGGTGCTGGGTATCTGACGTACATTCTCAACCCGAGAACATCAGACATATTGGGAGATGTCAAGGGATTTAGTGGGCAAGTCCAATGTCCGTATGCCTTCTCGTCCAAGAAAGTCGGTGATGACCTGATATGGTCTGGCATTGTCATCTTGCACTTCAAAATTTCTTCCAATAATTCTAAGGAAGGGAACAACAGTATGTAAAATTGTGTTAACATATCGCTGGCCAGTCAAATGTCCATTCACAATAACAAAATCAGTTTGCTGTCATGTGTGATGCAGCTCCATGGTCAAGAATTGTTGCCCTTACATACCGCTCGCCTCTTCAACAACGTTTTCTGCCGTCTGTGAATTGGAGGCGCAACCTTGAATGGTCTTTTAACATAGTGTTTGTTATTTGTTGGATGATTTTTTGGGGATATTCCTGATCAAACTATGTAATGTAGGATAGTTTGCTTATCATTATAAGCTCCTAGTGAATAGTCTATATTATTTTGAATAAATATGTTGATTGGACACTTAATTATTTATTTTCATAACCATGAATCCTGAGGTGCGTAATTCTTAGAACCATATTCTTGAAATATTCATATATACTGCAACCTGTGTGTATTTATTCTTATTCATACATCCAGCATTTCTATGCAGAAGAAGTTGCAAGGGACTATGAAGTAACTGGTAGAGGTAGGTATAGCTCATTTGTCTCATAAGGACAGTTTTTCAATATCTCAGTGACAGAAGAGATGTCAAGGGGTAATCCAAAGACCAAATGGGTATTATAAAATTATAAAATATCTTCTTACTTAAAACATATGCATGCAACATGGCCCATACCCAGTATTTAGTCTACATAACCATTTGGCATGTGGTGATTGTGTTGTGGTTGCAAACATCTGTCCAGTAGGCTCATATTTCTCTCACTTGATTGAAAATCAGGTGAGCTTACATAATTGCACTGTCAGTCATCCATCTGTCCCTCTGTACTCCTGTTAGATACCCCTTGGCTGGTCAGAGCCCAAACACCCATTGCTTTGGCCATTTAGGGAAGGGTAAGAGATCTACAGCCCTGAAAGCTCCTGTGACCCCAAGTAAGCCGGACACTGACCTTTGCAGTGGAAAACCTATACACTTTACTCTTGAATGTTTTCATCTGATACTGCTTGACTGATGAAGTTGAAATTTGGTGTGCAGGTTGCTTCTTATGTCACTGTCATGTTCAAATCAATGTGGTTTTGGAATATTCTTTTTTAAAATGGGCGTATTCTTTCTTTTTCCTACAATTTATAGCACCAGTTTTGCTGAAACACTATATATATATTGTTGAAGTATCATAAACAAAATTAACTATTTATTATATTTTCAAAAATATATATGTATATAAATTGTTTTCAGAACACATATAGCCAAGAAAGTGGAAACATCATGTGAATGATAAGGACAAAATATGATGCCATGTTATTACTCATGAGGTCAAAGGCCAAGTTCATTACTGTTGCAGTATTGCAAGGAATAGGTCTACCTTTGAGCGTTGAGTAAATTTGGTCATGACACAGTATAGAATCATCCCCACTAGCACAATGTATGAGAATAATTGTGATCAGCTTGGCACAAAGGGAGTTGTCATCGTTGAATCAAAATTAAGTGAAGCTGGTTCTGCATCATCTTGTGATGAAACATTTCTAGTTTCTGTGTTCTTTTCATGGACACAGATTCAAATATTTTCTGTTGATAATTACCATCATGGTGTTAAGTGTTTTGAAAGGCATCAAAATGGAATGTTTATAGTTTATAAAATGATTGAAATAATATGTATGGCATAAGAAAAATGATCTCCTCAGAATGCATTTACTTACAACTTAATGTAACATACATAGGACAGTAATATAACAATGTCATATAATATTACATTCATTGTTGCAAATATGTTTTTAAACTTTGATCCTATACTTTGCCAATACTTTGAATATCATATATAAGCTTTGCGCTGCTAATCTAGGTGAGCTACAGTGCTGTGGCACTATATGTAACAATAAAGTAGACAGATGCAATAAACACATGAAAAATCAGTGCTATTATCGTGTCATGCAGTGATGCTCCTAGTGATCAAACTCATATGAAATCAATTTGTTTCTTAACAAATCTTGGACATGCCATCATATATTATACTACCCACAAAAACTAAGAGAACTAATGAAAAGAAAGTGAAGGTGTAATGACGAAAAGAATTTGTGAATCTAATTTTGGATCTGTAGATAAATATCTGGTGTGTTCACTTGTTGGCCGATACATGCACGACAGGTTGATGGCATACTGGTGATTAACTTGCATATGGTTGAGAAATGGTGGCGGCTGCTGGGTCACTGGCTTACACTCCCCCCCTGAGAACATTCAACGGGTGCTCTATTGGGGATATGCCAAGGGACTCCTTTGGGCAAGTCCATAGGGGATAGTGGGCTGTAAACCATCTCGAATATATATTTGATGATGACCTGGGCATAATGTGGTCTGGCATTGTTATCTTGCAATTCAAAATTTCTGCCAAGAACTCTAGCTAATGGAACAACGATCAGACACAAAATTTCATCAGCAATTCGCTAGCCAGACAAATGACCATTTACAATGACCAAATCAGTTCGCCTATCATGTCTGATGCTGCACCACACCATGGCCCTACCACCCCCTAACCGATCATGGTCAAGAATTGTTGCCCTGGCATACTGCTCGCCACTACATCTCCAATAATGTTTTCTGCTATCTGTGAATCAAAGGTAAAATCTTGATTCGTGTGTAAACAAGATGTGACGCCACTGGCACACAGCCCGTCCCTGGTTTTGCCTAGCCCTCCCCAATCTTTGCTGCCTAGTGTAACTGTTGGGGTCACACCCTTCCCTGGACACTCTACTTTCAAGCAGGCTGCATAGAGCCGATTTTTAATGGCAGATGTTGAAAGTCGACTTCCTGTTCTAGCACAGAATTCTCTATTTGTAACTGGAGCAGATTTGAATCTATTGGGTAGTGCAATAATGTAATAAGACAATCTTGTCTAGGTGTCATTGTTTCAGGCCTGGTTCCATTGCAAGCCCACCTGTTTGAGGGTACTTGTCCCACAGTCTAGAAATTGCACTTTTTAATTTGTAAAATATTCGGGCAACTTGGGATATTGACATCCCTCCCCATGATCATACCCACAATTTACAATTCACCTCAAAGAATTTGTTTCCTTATTTTTTGTCTGTAGTATATAATTATATGTATACATATTGAATAAAACAAATGATGAGTATTGGAAAGGTCAATATCAAATTTCCATTTACTATGCAACTGGATTCCAAGTCATTACTTAAAATTCATTGGTTTAGCTCAAAGTGCATGTTGTTTTCAGATATTGAATCTTGAGATAGGCATCATATCATTATTAGAGTATCAAACAATAAATGATGGCTACAACAAATATTACCTGTTGACCACAGATAAAAAATGATTAATTGAGTTTTCCATGGTTACATGTTGCAGGTGGCAAATGCAATGTGCTAAGATACACACTCAAAGAGGAACTTTTGTTACAAATAATCCAAGGAGACCTCAGAGACTATAAGGGAACAGATGAGGTCTACCTCTGTCTTGAAGGAGACAAAGCATTGGGTAAGTCAATAATCTCAGCATGTTTAGCTTAGTTGAACTGGTCAGTAGAGCCTATGAAATGTTTGATTTCACACTTGATGAAATGTTTAATTTGATAAAACTTGGAATAAACACCTAAATGTAGAGTATTGCAAGGTCATTTTAAAGAATTGAAGGAAATAAATCAACTTGCAGCCAGATCATATATTTCATATTTCAAGCTGAAAGCAAATACAGACTGATCTAATGTAAACATGAAACTCTCGCATTTATTGTTTTATTAATCCATGAAAAGTCCATATTGTATCACATAGTAAGCCACTATCACTAAGAGTAAGGAAGACATCCCAAAAGGCTATCAAGTTATCTTGAGTAACCTTGTATACAGGATATTTAAGGTAGGGTTGTATTTTATGGAGAAATATCAATGGCTTCCAATGAAGATGATGGTCAACAGAAACCTTAATGTTCAAAAATGGATACTTGATTTTAAGTCATAATACACAAAATGTTAGATATGTAATTCTGTTATGAGGGGATTTCTAAAAGGTGAACATAGAAACCGGTTTATGGAACAAAAAATTGTGAGATCAGTAAAAAAACAAACAAGATCAATGAATAATCAGTAGATTATATAGAAACTCACAGTTTTAGGATCTCGTTAGTGACAGCAGCTCTAGAATATATGGCATTGTATCTCAGTGGGCTAGCGCTATAAATGGCATCAGTCCGGACTCGTACTAGCAGTCACACACACACACACACACACACACACACACACACACACACACACACACACACACACACACACACACACACACATGTGCATGCACATCACTTTATTAGTGCAATAATCTTGGACGCGACGTTTAACCTCATTTCACCTCAACTCCTCTTTTGGGATGTTCTAAATTTTTTGCTTCGTTTGACCTTTGCTGATATACCATATTTGTGGGAGTGAGACTTCAACCAACTTGTCTTGTCTCAACAAGTAGATATACATGTAGGAGAGGGGTCAATCTTGCATTTATTTGACATATATATATATATGACAACAATGGCAACTGCTATGAAATTCCTCATTCATGTATCAGATGAACATTAATATTGAACACGATTACTTTTCAGATTATCTGAACAAATTTCAAATGTCCATGTCTGAAGCAGGTAGAGGTACGTATTCCTGTTGAAAGTCTCAAACCAGCTTCATAGAAATTCAGAACAGATCAGATGTGTTGAAGGTCAAGGTTACTGAGTGAAATTGGCAACAATTGCAGCTTGGGTACATGCTAACTTAAGTTAGCATTCAGTACCAAATTCAATTAAGCTTGGTTAAATCTACAGGTAACCTAAATCTACATTGAAAACACAATGTGTTTATCTCCTAATTTAGCAGCCCCATGTAAATGGGGATGCTTTGAGGGTTTGTCTGAATTTGTTCTCACAAGTTCTCACTTGGGTCAGAAACCACACAATGCCCAGATCATGTATATCTTTTTCATGGCCATGGGGATTTGTTTCAAAACAGTGACCGTCAAGGGTCACTTGAAGAAAAAATAAATTAAATGATAACTAATGAAGTCTCTGACTATATGTCAATGACACTTGGTACATGGGGTGTGGCTGCCATTTGTAAAAGATGTGTGTGACTTATTTATATGTTCATGGTCACAGTGAAGGCCATTCGTAAACTATATGTAAGGTAAAGGTCACAGTGAAGGTTATTTATAAAGTTCATGTGCATAGTATATATGATGATATGCTAAGACTGTGTTATGTTTTCCATTATTGGAATTGATGTTATTAAATAGGAATTTGGTAATAAGCTAGATGAGGCATATTAATTTCTGTTTCAAAGTTGTACTGCATTTGCCATATATTTTCCTGAACCGAAAATGATGTTATTATAACGAAATTGCTCATGACTTTGTTATTGCAGTAGCTGAAGGAACACTTTGGGGGAATTCAGGGAGAGGTGGAAATAGCGTTTCTGTTTTTGCATGTAATGAAACATTTCCAGTTGTTGATTTGAAAATGTGAAGCAGGTGAACAGATCAATCTAAAACACTCTGAGTCTTTTGTCTCAAGATAACAAATGCTTGGTTTTAATTTCTTTCAGTTACACATGAATTAACACACAGCAAGTCTTCCAGAATAAGCTCTCATTCACTGGGTGCAAGTCCTTTGCTTGTTCATGTCTACCACAGAGATAAAATCTTTGAGACTTTGAAGAGGATTCTGAAGAGGAACCAGGGAAATATGGGCATACAAGTCATCATTCCTTCCACTGGTAAATATTTTGCCATTTGAAAGATGAACTTTATGTGTTAATAATATGCACTGTGTCCCTGCACCTGGAATATGACTAATAATAAGTTACAACATGGACATGCCTTCTTTACTTATAACTTCTTTGATAGGCATTTTGAAGTTGGAGTACTAAATAAGAATAAGATTTATGGATGAACAACTTCTTTATTACAATTAAGAGTGACGTTTCGGTGTAGGTTCTAACACCATCATCAAGCAAGTGATATATAGAGTATGGCTGACAAGTATATATGCAGTAGTCAGTAACATAAACAAAGGGTGAAGCCAGTAATTTTAACAACAGGATTATGGCTGACTGGGGTCTTTGATGAGTTGATGGTACGCTGGGGGGTATGTCATAGACTTGGTCACCGTTATCGATTCTTTGACTTTATCCCACTGAATGCTGTGGCTTGGGTTGTCACGGATGTCATCTGATAGAGCTGATTTAGAGTCATCGATAGCAACCTGACATCTCCTGCCCATGGAAGTGGTCGTCCTTTCACGTAGGTGGCGCAGTTGGATGTAGCGATCTTGGGCGTCCCAACCTTGGCCGATCACGTGTTGACCCATGCTGTTGAAACCGATCCCATAGCCTTGTGATGGTACTGGGCGCTACATTGAAAACCCTGGGTTCAGCTGATCAGGATTCCCCTGCCTGGAAGCGGCCTGTGACGTTGTTTCTTTGCACTTCTGTTAATCTTGGCATGTTCTTGAACTGTCACTGTTTGATTGACGCAGATGCCAGGCAACCAAAAACCCTGCACTTTCATTCATAGTGCTGCTTCATGTGCAGTGCGTGCAGCTCCATGGCCCTTTTGTTAATGCACTGGGTGCGTTTTTCCAAATCACACGTGTTTCCCGACTAATGGTTTGCATGTCCTTGTTGTGATCATTTAGATCTGGGAAATTGTCACTGACACTTTAAACCTCTTCATTTTGCACCTCTTGGTCCACTAATTTTGCTTTTATAGCCAAAAATACCCAATATGCGTTTCTTTTTTTTATGAGTATATGTTTAGATAATGATTATGTACTATCAAAGAATTATTTCTAATAGTATCTGTCCATTCTTTAGGTATATTTGAAAGAACCCAATATAATCAAGAATTATACCTCGAATTTTGAAGCTTTTCTTAAGTTCACTAAATGACTCAAAACCTTAATCATTAGGCAGGTCCCTGATGTTGGGAATACAGGAATACAGGAGGAGGCTACTAATAAAATTATCCTGAATATACTGAACAACAAAAGTTCCTGTGACATTGAATAAGATTTAATGCAAAGTTATTTTTTTTACCAAATCTGAAACAATTTCGGTTTGCAACAGATAAAAGACTCCTGTAAGTGTTCAAATGGTTTAATTTGCCATACTGACTTCAGAAAATGCGTGATTTCATAAAAAACATGAACATACCAAAATGTCAATTTACAAATCAATAGTGTGTGTGTCCACATCTGGTTGTGATGCAAGCAACACACCTTCATCTCATCAAATGAACCAGGCGTCGCACAAATTTCTGTGGGATATCTGTCCATATCTGCTGGAGCATGTTTCGAAGTTCCTGGAGTGTCTGTGGAACACCTGGTTGACGTCGAAGGCGCTGATCCATCTCATCCCACATGTGCTCGATTGGTGAGAGATCAGGGGAGCGAGCCAGCCAGGGGATGACATTCACATTTTTATGTTGAAGAGAATCCTGAAAAAGTCGAGCAATATGAGGCCGGGGCGTTGTCATGTTGAAAGGTAATGCCTGGGCCATGATGACGCAAAAATCGTAGAACAACAGGGTTGATGATCTCTTCGTGGTAGCAATGTCCATTGAGATTTCCCTCTACCACTATCAAACGGTCCTGTCTTGCGGTAATCCCACCCTATACCATAACGCTGCCGCCCTCGAACCAATCTTTTTCCATGACACAATGATTGACGTATCTTTCACCTCAATGTCGGAACACTCGAATCTGTCCATCGCTGTGGCTGAGGTGAAAACAAGATTCGTCAGGGAATAGAACTTGTACCCACTGCAAGTGTTACTTGATGATGAATCTAAGAAATATGTGACAGTGAACACCCATAAGGGCCTTTATCGTTATACACGATTACCCTTTGGGGTCGCTTCAGCCCCTGCTTTATTCCAAAATACCAGGTATTACGGGGTTTTCCAGCAACTGGCGATTTCATAGATGACCTGTATGTAACTGGTAAAGATGACAGTAAACACCTGAAGCACATTGATAATGTGTTTGAACGTTTGGATTCTTATGGCATCAAACTAAACAAGTCAAAGTGTACTTTTCTTCAACCATCTATGGAGTACCTTGGTTTCAGGGTGAACAGTCAAGGTATTCATCCGACGGAATCCAAGAATGAAGCAATCCGGAATGCACCGCGACCAACAAATCTGAGAGAACTACAATCCTTTTTGGGGGGTGTGAACTATTACCGGAAGTTTATACCAGATATGTCTACAGTGTGTGCACCATTAAATAAACTTCTGCAGAAAGGAACAAAGTTTCATTGGGACAGCTCGTGTGACAAAGCCTTTCAGAAACTATGTAAGCATTTGACTACATCTGATGTACTAGTGCATTATGACCCAAAACAGCCTCTGATCTTGGCGGCAAAGGCATCTCAGCATGGTTTAGGTGCAGTCATTTCTCATGATACAAATTCTGGGGAACGACCTATAGCTTCACGAACGCTAACAGCCGCTGAGAAAAACTACTCTCAGATTGAGAAAGAGGCTTTGGCTATCATTTTTGGAATCCAGAAATTCCATAAGTACTTGTATGGGAGACATTTCACCCTGTTTACGGACCACAAGCCACTAACAAGTATTATTGGGCCTAAAACAGGAATTCCTGTACTTGCTGCATCAAGACTGCAGAGGTGGGCCATCCAGCTATCAGCTTACACTTACGAGATCAAGTATAAATCCACGAAACAAAATGCTAATGCAGATTGCCTTTCCAGATTACCATTAGCAGATACCAATGGTCAGAAAACCACTTCACACACATTTTGGACACGAGAAGCTACTTCAGTGCATATTGCTCAGCTAGATAATCTGCCTGTTATATCCAGAGACATATCAGCTGCAACTGTACGAGACAAAGTGCTATCTCCAGTGAAACATTTCACTGTTTGTGACTGGCCTTCAGTAGGTGATATTTCTCCTGAATCCCTTCCATATTATAGAAGGAAGGACGAGTTGACATGTGAAGAGGGCTGCTTACTTTGGGGAGTGAGAGTAGTAGTACCCACTCAGTACCGAGTTGAGATTTTGGATAATCGTCATGACTCTCATCCGGGGATTGTTCGCATGAAAGGATTCATGTGTGGTGGCCTCATTGGATACAGACATAGAGCAGCTAGTTAGAAACTGTGCATCTTGTCAAAGTGTACAACCGGTCCCACCTACAACCAGACAGAATCCCTGGATCTGGCCTTCCCGTCCTTATCAACGGATTCACGTTGACTTTGCTGGCCCCTTTATGGGTGAGAACTTTCTTATTGTGGTGGAAGCTATGTCCAAATGGCCTGAAGTAGTTCAGATGAAATCAACAACAACAATAAGTACCATAAATGTTTTGAGAAAGCTCTTTTCTTCTTATGGCCTTCCCGATCAGCTAATCTCTGACAATGGACCACAGTTTACCTCTCACGAGCTCAAGACATTTCTGAAGAAAAATGGAGTTAAACATATTCTGTCCTCGACGTACCACCCAAGCTCTAATGGTGAGGCAGAACGATTTGTCAGAACGTTCAAGACTACTATGAAATCCATGAGGGCATCTACGTCTACTCTTCAACAGCGACTGTGCAGATTTCTGCTGTCCTACCGAACCACACCTCACAGTACAACGAAAACGACCCCTGCAGAACTGTTCATGGGAAGGCGTATTCGTACTCGACTCGACTTGCTGAGACCAGATCTTGCTTCTTCAGTTCAAAGAAAAGTGTCTCCGAAAGTGGATGCTGTGAGGCGTTTTGAAGTTGGCGACCCAGTCGTGGTGAGGGACTACAGGGGTCGTACCGAACAATGGCTCCACGGGGTTGTACTAAAAGCATTAGGTCATGTGACTTACAAGGTTCAGGTAGAGAACTTTGAGTGGAAGCGCCATGTTGATCAGCTGATAACTATGCCAGGTATGCCTGATCTACCAGTAACATCCACTACTGAGGACATAACAATCCCTGATAGGTCTGAAAGTGCGGCAATGTCTGGGGTAGAGAAGATTCCAGTTGAAAATACCAAGGGGTCATTTCCTGGGGAAATCGGGGTGGAGAGTGTTCCACCTGGGACAAGGCCCCCAGAGACTGAAATTGTACCTGGGACAGAAACAGCGACTCGAAAATATCCTGTTAGGGAGAGGAAGAAACCAGATAGACTGTCTTATTGAACTGTTAGTGTCACATTAACACTGCTGGGATCTTAAATACCTGGGTCACAGACCTTGTAACATTCCTGTCATAGTGACCTCGTTAAGTGTATTCGTGTGTTGACACTGGATTGAGGTATTGACCTACTGACCACATTTTAGGTCAGTGTGACATTTGTGTTTCAACGATAAACATTGATTTGGATACTTTGCTTATTAAACGGCAGTAAGATCGTACTATTATTTCAGGTTACGTTTTGTTTGTATATTTTTAAGGGGGAAAAGTGTAAAATATTAGGGTTTGATAAATTCTGATGGTAAACAGAAGTCGTTCATGTAATGTAATCAGTGGTTCGGAAAACGTTGTTACTAGCGCACGTGCAATGCGTGCTCGGGCTTGGCTATTGATTGTCACTTGTCGTCTGATGAATAAACGAAGTGGGAAGTTTGCAGGTTGTCTCTTGGTTATTGAAAGAACACTACAGGAATCAACTTCAATTGGTAATCAAACCAAGATGAAATAAATGTACCAGTACAAATTGTGGAATGAGACAAAATCAAAATAAACTAATCATCATTTATCAATCACTGTAA